TGAAGATGGCGATGCCGTGCTCCTCGAACTCCTTCAGGACCTTCTTCTTCAGGGTGGCCATCTCCAGGGCGGTCAGGGAATCGGCCTTGGCGATTATGGGCACGATGTTGACCTTGCCGGCGAGGCGCTTCATGAACTGAATGTCCAGCTGGGAGAGTCTAATGATGAAGAGTTAGTTTGGGTGAGTTCTAAATGGGAGAGAGGGAAAAAGGTAAACAAAGACTTACCCGCGGCCAAAGGGCGAGATAAAGTAGAGGCAGCAGTGGACGCGATTGTCGACGATGTTCTTTCGATTGACGCCCGACTCGTCCTTGAAGTACTGGTTGAACTGCTCGTCGATGTACTGCTCCACGCACTGGAAGCTGCCGCTGGTGTTGAGGGCGTCGCCGAAGCCGGGCGTGTCGACTATGGTCACCCGCAGCTTGATGCCCTTCTCCAGGATGTCCAGCTGCTTCTTCTCCACGGAGACGGTCCGTTCCAGCAGCTGGCTCACCGTGGGGATCTTCCGGTCCTTGTAGAGGTCGCCGAGGAAGAGGCAGTTGGTCAGGGTCGACTTGCCGAGGCCTGATTCGCCTGAAAGAGGGGGAAATTTGGGTTTAGTTCGGATAAAGAGTTCTAAATGGGCAGGGTGCTACTCACCGACGACCATGATGGTAAAGTCGAAGCCCTTCTTCGCCGACTTGCGGTGGACATGCTCGGGAAGGGTGGCAAAGCCGATTTCGCCCTGTGGTCATAATTTAGAACCGATTAGTGGTCAATTTTTGAGATGCAAACCAAATGAGATGCTTACCGCGATTGGCATTGTTCAGAGAGGATGGCTAAAAGTGGGAAGAGAGAGTAGCTGCACTTGAAGTTGTAGGCCTCTGCTTGGAATCGGCTAGATATTTGAAGTCCAAGTTGCTGCTGTCTGCTGTCTGTCTGTTTATTGTCGCCAAACAGTCGCCGACCAAACCCAACCGAAGCGACCAAAGACGTACGGCGCATGGGCAGAGGAGGTGGTGGTGGTCAGCAGAAGAACCCGAAGAAAGGGAATAAGAGAATGAAAAGGAGTTCTTTGGTTAGAAGAGGATAGTGGCTTCAAGAGATTATCAGACAAACCTTGGAAGAAAAACTTGAGGCTTGAGAGCCACTCTTGAGATGAGACTTGCCAACACCGAGCTCTCCGACTAAACTGAAAATCAGAACTGAACTGAACAGCAACAGTTCTCGTGTCAAACCGACTGTTTATATCCTCGCCACCCTGTGCCACTAAAACTTCAACTTGGCTTTGATTTTGGCGCCCTCGTGGCCACTAGCACCTCTCTTATCTTTCACCCCCTCCCTTTGAGTGGTAATCGATGATAATAATCAGCCCGTGAGTAGCCGTTTGACAGTGAGGCGATTGCCAGGTGATTGCGCGTTGGTAAAGTGCTAGAAAGAAAGAAATGCGCGTACGTCCATCTGGTCGGCCCCCGCCGCCGCCGTCGCTGGCAGCAGCAGCAACGGTAGCAGCGTTGGCCACGCTGTCGGCTGGCTGGCAGCGAGAAGCAAAGCGATAGAAAAGCTGCTGCTGCCGGTGTCGCTCTTTCTTTCTTTTAGCTCGCCGCTCTCCACGTCCGAAGACGTCTCGCTCACCACCACCAAAGGATCACCACCTCCTCGGCTTCCTTTGTCACCCCACCACCACCATCACCACCCGCACTTCTGTCTCCAAGAGATCACCCTCCTCCTCACCACCATGACTGTAAGTGTCCTCGAATCTCCAGTGATCATGATCTTGCCCGGTGATGCAATGTCACCTTCAGTCACCACCTGAGTCTCACCGTTTCTATTTNGCATCACCACCAAAGGATCACCACCTCCTCGGCTTCCTTTGTCACCCCATCACCACCACCACCCGCACTTCTGTCTCCAAGAGATCACCCTCCTCCTCACCACCATGACTGTAAGTGTCCTCGAATCTCCAGTGATCATGATCTTGCCCTGTGATGCAATGTCACCTTCAGTCACCACCTGAGTCTCACCGTTTCTATTTCTCACCCTTTCTAGAAACTGATCACCTCCGAGAACAACTACCGCGCCTTCAAGGCTCTGATTGCCAGCAAGTACAGCGGCAAGGCGGTGTCGGCGCAGACGGTCGACCCGGCGAAGGCGAATACTCACTTTGGCAAGGTAAGACGAGTTTGAAATTTTGAGGAGCCCATTTTCTGACATTTCCTCCTCTCCTCAGATTCCCTCCCTCGAGGTCTCCGGCTCGAGTGCGCTCTTCGACAGCAGCGCCATCGCCTACTACCTCTCCAATGCCCAGCTGCGCGGCGGCGACAACGAGCTGAGCCAGGCGCAGGTGCTCCAGTGGGTGAACTACGCCGACAATGACATCCACCCGGCCGCCTTCGCCTGGACCCTTCCGGCCACCGGCCTCTCCACGCAGAAGGCCACCCTCGAGTCGGCGAAGGCCGAGGCGAAGACCTCGCTGAAGCTGCTCAACGACTACCTCCTCACGCGCACCTACCTGGTGGGGGAGCAGATCACCCTGGCTGACATTGCCGTCGCCGTCAGCCTCCTGCCGCTGTACCAGTACGTGCTGGAGCCCTCGGTCCGCTCGGCCTTCGGCAATCTGAACCGCTGGTTCACCACGCTGGTCAACCAGAAGGAGTTTGCCGCCGTGCTCGGCAAGGTGGAGCTCTGCGAGAGTGTCAAGCAGCTGCAGGCCGGTGCTGCTCAGGCCCAGGCTGGTCAGCAGGGCAAGAAGGACAACAAGAAGAAGGAGGCGAAGAAGCAGGCANCTACCTCCTCACGCGCACCTACCTGGTGGGGGAGCAGATCACCCTGGCTGACATTGCCGTCGCCGTCAGCCTCCTGCCGCTGTACCAGTACGTGCTGGAGCCCTCGGTCCGCTCGGCCTTCGGCAATCTGAACCGCTGGTTCACCACGCTGGTCAACCAGAAGGAGTTTGCCGCCGTGCTCGGCAAGGTGGAGCTCTGCGAGAGTGTCAAGCAGCTGCAGGCCGGTGCTGCTCAGGCCCAGGCTGGTCAGCAGGGCAAGAAGGACAACAAGAAGAAGGAGGCGAAGAAGCAGGCTGCTGAGCAGCCGAAGAAGGCAGAGCCTAAGAAGAAGGAGGCGGCGGAGGAGCAGGACGACGGCGGCGACGAGATCAACCTCGCCCCCAAGCCGAAGGACCCCTTTGAGAAGCTGCCCAAGGGCAAGTTTGACTTTGATGACTTCAAGCGCTTCTACTCGAACAACTCCGAGGACAAGTCGGTGCCCTACTTCTGGNAGGACCCCTTTGAGAAGCTGCCCAAGGGCAAGTTTGACTTTGATGACTTCAAGCGCTTCTACTCGAACAACTCCGAGGACAAGTCGGTGCCCTACTTCTGGGAGAAGTTCGACCCGGAGGCCTACTCCATCTGGTACTGCGAGTACAAGTACCCCCAGGAGCTGGCGCAGGTCTTCATGAGCTGCAACCTCATCTCTGGTA